TAATATGCCGATGAGTTTGGCCCAGAGAAGCTCTTTTGAGATTCTGTAAAGTGTATCTAACTACTTATTGATTATATCTACTTGTCTTACAAGCATCTTAAATTCAGTATATGCACAACTGAACTCAAAATCTTTCCCCATCAAATCTATTCCTTCTCAAAAGAATTTCCCATCTCAGAGAATGAAGCCTACCTAGTTACTCAAATTAGGAACTGAGAAGTCATTCTTTCTCTCCTCTTTTCCTTTCCTGCCAATATCCAGTGAATTACTAAATCATGTTAATACAAGCTACTAAGTGTTTAAAAATTTTGTCCACTTCTTTCCAGATAAATTGCCACTCCTCCAGTCCAGGTCATAAGCATTTTTCCCCTAAATACAGAAATGGCCTTCTTAACTGTCCTCCCCATCTCCACTCTTGTTCCTCCTCAATGTAATTTCCACATTACAGAATAATCCTCTTAAATGTAAGCTTGTTTATGGCAACTCCCCGCTTAATATTCTTCAAAGTTCTCATAGAAGAAAAACATCAAAACTCCTTAAGCTCATCTTTCAGAGCCCTAATCTTGACCATGCCTACTACCTTCTCATTCTTCACTTGACACTCTAAACTTTAGACATACTACATTCTAGTTCTTCAAACTTGCCATGCCTCACAGCTCCAAAATTGTATACATTTCATATGCTGTCTTCCATCACTAATATCCCTGCTTTTCACCAGATAACTCTTATCAGTTTAGAAGTCATTTCTTCCCAAAGCTTTTTCTGAAACTCCCTTCAATTTGTATCCTTAATATGGAATCCACCCCTTATCATAGCATTCACCCCATTGTGATTGCTTGTTTAACTAATATTCATTGAGAGCCCACTATGTAAGGGATACTGTGTTCTCCTCTGTATATAGAATTTAGTCAATACAGGATATTGTAGAAGCACAGCTAGGATGTAAAAGAGGTCTAAGAAATGCTGTTTAGTGACTTGTGTTACCATCTATTTCCCTACTAAATTAAACCAGAGCCAATTTCATAATCATTTCTTGGTTCTTTGAAATTATTTAACATAGTAGAAGGTAGAAAAATATTTAATCTCATTAATTGTTGGATTTTAAACACATACAAAATATTTTTGGCATTGTAATAGGACACCAATCAGCCACTACTTTTAATCTAGCAGAGTTTTTCTTTGACATTCACTTTGGAGTGTAAAAAGCAAAGAGGCAAACTACTACAGTGGAAAATATGGGACTTAGAATACTGTGATTAATAATTCTGCCACTTACTAGGTATGTGTCCTTGGTCAAGACCCTTAATCTCTCTGGGCCTCAATTTCCTCATCTGAAAAAGGCAGTTACAAAAATGAAATGAGATGAGAAAATAAAAGTATAGCATAAAACATAAAGGGCTATCCAAAATACTGTCTGTTATTATTAAATATCATTGTTATTAGAGTCAACACAGATCAAGTTTCCCTATTACTGGTCATCTTGGCTCTATAAAGCTACAGCATTTCCAAATTTCATCCTTCATCTTCCCTTTACCATCTAAGAGATAGACTTGTATACTTTAATAAACACACATTGATGATGGTTAAAAAACACAAAGAAAAACAAGCCAAAGATACAATAAGTACATATTAACGTATGAAAAGGACAAGGCAGAAGTACCAGCCTATGAAAGTCTAGAATTTGAATCAGGCCACAACTTTTTTTTTTTTTTATGTTGATTGGAAGGGTAGATGGCACAAAAGAGTAATGCTTGCAACCATTTTTCAGTAAAATGGGAACCCAGTGAGCTGGAAAGTCAGGATAACTGGGTTCAAAGACTAGTTTAGCTACTAACTTAACCATTCATACCCAGGTGGTCTACCCACCAACACTCTGGTCTTTCAGTTCCTTGATATTCTTGGCTTCTATCATCTTTTTCTTTCATCTTATCTCAGCCACACACTCAAAAGGCCACAAGTCTCAAATGGCCACTCGACTTTGCCCAGTTGTGTTACTATGCTTCTCTAGTCTGATTGCTTTCCACCCTCCAACGTGACTATTTTATACCTTCTCTTCTCCCCTTAAACCTCCTACCCAAACATTCCTCCTAATCCCTTATTCAGCTTGCCTCATACCTTATAATTCATTGAGAAAAAGAGAATCAGTATCAGGGAGAAATTCTTTTACCTTCTGACCACTTGATTCTACCCATCTATTTGCATCTCTACCCATACTCACTGACTTTCTTCTTATTACTAGAAATGTTATGTTCCTGTTCCTACCCAAGGCCTACACCTCTACATATTCCCTAGATGCCATCCCCTCTTGTTTTCTCAAAGGCTTCACTCCTAAAATACACATACTCTCTCTTATGCCATCATTTCCCCCTAGACCTCCACTGGATCATTCCCATTAGTTTAAAAATATGCTTAAGTATCCTCATCTTTAAGAACCCTTCATTGACTCTACATATTCCTCCATCTATTTCCTCCATTTTTCAGCTCTCCTTCATAGTAAAATATCTTGAGATGTCTATAGTACTATGTCCATTTTTCACACCACATTTTCTCTTCATTGTTATTTGTCAAGGCACAATACTACACGTTGCCAAAATCCAGTGCACAGATCTCTTTATTTTACTTGATCTCTAAGCATGATTCAAGACCACTGGCCAGGTTTTGTGGTTTTGGCTTTTATATCACCACACTCTTTGGATTTTCTTCCGGCTTCACTGGCTATTCCTCCATCTCCTTTGCTTGCTTCTTTTCCTCTGCTTTACCACTAATCATTGGAATGTTCAGCACACTTGTCCTAGGTAGTTTTTTCCACATGTTGGTGACTACTAACTTTGTATCTCTGGTCCCTTCCCTCTGTACAGAGCTTAAGATTCAACTTACCTTAGATTTCTAATAAGCATGTAAAAATTAAGATAAGAAAAATAAAACTCCCTTCCCCTCATTTTTCTTCCCTAGTCTTTTCTATTTAGTAAGTGGCACAACCATCCACTCAAGCTCAAGACAAAAGCCTGGGAGTTAGGTGTGACTTCCCCTTTTTCCTCACCCCTATATTCAAAACATCACAAAATCTGTAGGCTCTGCCTCCAAAATGTATCTCACATACATTCACTTATCTGCCACTTTATCTCAAACATCTGTCATTCCTTCTTGGATTTCTGCAATTGTCGAAGTCTACTAATCTTGTTCTCCATCACCTGTGATTCATTCACCACATAACAGGCAGAACAAACCTTTTTACAATGTAAATCAAATATATTACTCCCTTCCCAGAACTCACTACTGGATTCTTATCAGACTTTAAATAAACTCCAAATGTATTTCATAGGCAGATTTCCATGGCCTATTTGAAGCCCTGTATGGTTTGGCCCCTACCTATTATCTCCAGGCTCATCTTACACTTTCTCTACATTCCAGCTACAGGAGCCTTTCTTTCCTACCTTAGGGCTTTTGCAACTGGAGTTGTCTTTATCTGTAATGCTCTGATCCCAAAGATTTCCATGGTTGGCTTTTTTATTTCACTCAGGTCTCAGCACAGTTGCTAGCTTTTTAGAGAGGCCTTCCCTAACCAATCTAAAGTAACCCCTCTCCCAGTCTCTCGCACTTCACACCATTTTACTTCTTCACTGCACTTACCATTATCCAAAATTCCTTGTTCATATATCATTTACCTGCTTATTTTCCATCTTCTCTCACTAGAATTTAAATTTTATGAGAACAGGGTTCTTGCTAGTCTTTCTTACCATTGTATTCATAATGCCTAAAACAATGCCTGGCAAAGTAGGAGATTCTCTAAAAATATTTGATGAATGCCTCTCCCTAAGCAAGTCCCTCAACTTCTCTATTTAACTCACATTTATGGGCTTTCTATCGCTAGACCTAGCTCTGGGTCCAGGAAATACAACGGCACAAAAGACATGGCTCCTTCGGAAGCTCACGCATTCATTCCCTCAACAAATATTTACTGACTATATTATACTATGTTCCAGGTACTGCTCAATCTCAGTGTTTCGTTCCCCCTCCCCAAAATGAGTTTTGTTAACCAACTATCCCACACAAGTATATAAACAGGATGAGTATGAACATAATGTACAAAATGAGAAGTGCTATAAAAATGGTACTTTATATATTACTATTAGTGCACTTGCCTCTTTCCTTTCGTCTGGTAATGGGCAGGAGCTTACGATACGAGCCCATTGAAAAACAGCAGTATAAATTCTGGTACTCACAGAAGGCAATTAATATGAATGCCCTTTACATAGGCACATAGTGACAAATGTTTCGAGCATGAATTCTCCATGTGTGATAATAATATGTTAATTTTTCGCACTAATGTTGCACAAATAACAATTCTATTTACCTCAGTGGAAAATCAGAGTAGGGTGTGGCCCCCTCGGTTTAACTGGGTCAATCTCCCCTTCCCGCCGCCCAATCTGATCTTCCAGACACCGGCAGGGGGCGGTCAGGGATCGGCGTGGTCCTCTTTTAGGACCCCCGAACGCTGCGTGCCTGACGGCGCCATGCATGCAACAACTGTTCTTAATCCTGCAAAAGCAGTGGTCTGAAACGTTTCTCCACGGGGATGAAGTCGACAGGAGCAGACGGGAGAGGGGCGTGGGGGAGGAAGAGCCTTCTCAGGATCAGCATCCGGAACACATCTTCGCGTGTTCCGCACAGATCACGTTTGTGTGACAGCCTGCGCTTAATAAAATTAACTGCGCAGCCAATCTTGACCGACCTCTGTTACCTGCGAGTGTCCGTAAGAGAAGGGAAAGAAACAGAGGAGGAAGGGAGGGAAGAAAGAAAAGAGATGTGGGATGAGGGAGCGAAGAAACGAGTCAGGAAGAGGAGAGAAATGTCTCCCCAGCGTCTGGGGAGGGCGCCGACGTATCTCCCTCGAACTGAGGGGAGGAAAGGCGCCGCTGGGGACGAAAGGGAAATGACTGCAGGAGACGAGGGACTTCCCAAGGGCCTAGGAAGGGTGAGTCAAGAAAAACGGGCCGTACCTACAACTCCTTTCGCAACCCTCGCCGCCCGGGAGCAGCCCAGGCACCCAGCAACCGTCGCGCCGGCCGCGCGCCGCAGGGGGCGTGGCGGAGGCGGCGGAGGCGCAGGCGCCGGGCCAGACCTCCGCGCGGGGGCGGGGCCGCGCGGGGGGCGGGGCCACGGAGGCCCCGTGCTTAAGTGACGTCACGGCCGCCGGCGCCCGCCCGGGCTGGGGCTCTGAGGCTCGGGCTACAGCCGGTGTGTTTTCTTTCGGTCTATTCAGCCCTTTCCTTTCGACCTCTCTTCTGAATACTGACCTATCGCGTTGTAAAATTCCAGGGACAGGGTTGACATCACTGGGCATTTTAGCCAAGAAGCAGCGCCAGGGACTGCATGTGCCAGAAGTAACTTGTCAAAACTCAAATCATGTGTCCCCTAAAGTCAGCTTAAATACAGTGCAGTGGTGAAAGAGCACAGTCTCTGGAGTCAGGCTTAAAGTTTAGCGCTGCCACTTTCCAGTTATGGCCCTAGGCAAATACATAACCTCCCTCAGCTCGTCTTCTCCTCTGTAAAGTACGTGGGGATGGAGGTGGCGGTGGTGTGAGAATCAGTGAGACGTGGCAAGTGTCTGAAACAGGGCTGGTACGAAGTAAACGGTCGGTGTGCTGTTATCAGTATAAAACCTTTGCGCATTCTTTTTTTTCATATGAAATCTTATGTGGAAACTTTTATGTGAAATAAATGACTGCCTAGCTGCTTTGGTTGAAGGTGGGTCCAGAGCTTTGGCTTTTCAGTCCCGAAGGGCGTTCTATTAGGTTCCTTAAATGGAATCTCCAAGCTTCCTAAAATAGACCGAAAACAACTCATTGGAGGAAGTCCAAACTTTTTAGAAAGACAAACCGCCCTCTCCTGACACTCGAAACGTTTACTCCTGAACACTGTATTCCTTTTTGCCTCAGTGTTTTTTCTAAAGTTATTTCCTATACTGGGAAATAACTTCCTGCTTTTATTATTCATCATTAAAGATCTAATTCCAATTACAACTTGTTCTTGGGTGACCGAGTAAGAAATTATCTTTTTATTGTAACACCCTCCCACCTTCAGCGTGGTGTAGACATCTCTCAGCAAGAATCAGAAGTTATTTTCTTCCTCGTTTTAGAAAACTAGACTTAGTCTTTGTGATCATAGGGTTAAGGAAATGCTTTGCACTCATAGCATGGAAGGGAAAAGTAGGTAGATCCCCAAGGATACTGGGGGGAGGGCAGAATGGTAGAACTGGGAAGGAGGACCTTTGCTAGGAGTCTGTTGGCTTCCAGGGCACCACTATGCTCCAGAAGCAATGAACTGCAGAGTTAAGTGCTTTAGGGTCCATCTAAGGAAGATGGGGGGCTAGGGGGCTCAGTAACCAATGGACTTTCGGAATTCTCACCAGGTTCGAGGGCTCAGGCTAGATTTAATTTGAGTCAGTCAACTATAAAATGTGGTATTACTTGTTCCCGAAATGGCATGAACCAATTCCCATCTATTACAGAGAACTACATAAATGATTCATATAAAAATATAATACTCTGAAACATTTAAAAAATAATGTCCTTCATTTATTTAGACAATATAATGAAAATTTAACAATATTTTATTTAAAAAACATGTAAACAACTGATACCTTTTCTTGTAAAAATTAATAATAATTTAAAAATAATTAAAAAATAAAAATAATTAAAATAATTAAATTTATTCTATTTGCAACAATGCCACAGAAAGCAAAAAACTTTTGAGGAAAAAGGAGAACCTCACTCATGACAACATTTTTTCAATAAATTTGATATGATAAAAAGTTTTAAAAATATTTTCTACATAAATGGTTTTGTACTTCTAAAACCACTTCAATAAAAATAAAAATTTGGCCAATGAATGATCTATTTAGTATGATTTCAGTGCCCACTTTCTGTTCTAGTCTTCTCTCTCATTAATTCTCTTTGTCAATCTGAAGTACCAACCACTTTCTGTGCTTCAGGGTTTACTGTTTTCAAAACTTTGCTAATATGCCAGCCTTCTACTTAGTTCCCACCTTCACCTTACTCCCTAATATTACCCCACCCATTCGAATCCTCTCTACTCTTGGAGGTCCAGTTGAAGTATCACCTCCTCTAAGAAGTTTTCCGCAACTTCCCCACTGAGAACACTTTTAAATTATTCATTTGGATTGTACCTATCTGTACATATCTTACTCCTTCTAAGGATCTGAAAGGAAAGTATCATGTCTTGTCCATATTTTTATTTCCCACAGTGTCAATATCCACTAGAATTCAACTTACATTGAAAACCAAGCCCTTGAATATCTTGTTCATCACTGTATTCCACAGTACCTAGCTCAATGCCTGGCACAGAGTAGGCATATTATAAGTGTATTTTGAGTGAGGGAATTGAATGGATTTTAAAACAAGCTCCATGAAGTCAAAGATTTGTCTGCTTTATTAATTGCAAAATGAATATTTGAATATTAACAGATGAATAAATGATTTTTTGAAGGCTTAACATTCATTATATACACCAAAAATTCTTCATTCTATATATCTTCACAAAAGTCAAATATGACGTATTTATGTTGCCTTGCACCCAACTAATTCAGTAGATAATATATGTTTCTGAAAATAAGACAACTCCCGGAACTACAGAAGCAAAATTTAAAAGAATCAAAATAATATGGGTGTTTATATTAGTTTCAGTTTTCTTCTTTGTACTTTTCTGTGTTCTAAATTTTCTACAATTAAACTGTATTATTTTTTAATCAGGAAAAATAATCGGTGCTATTTTTAAAGAATGCAATGGATAAGATCATTTGAAAATTTATGGCTGAGGAAATTTTGAGGACATCAAGTTCAATCAAAGTTATTTGGAGTTAATACCAGAGAGAAAAATATTGGAATGTGACAATAACTTAAAGAGCTTAAACCTAATCAGTCTATCTGGAAAAAATACTTCTTAGAAGAGAGATGGGTAGCACAGACCCTAGAAAAAAAGAACTTTGAAGAACAAGAATTTAGAGTTTTGTTCAGCACAGTCCATAGAAAATATGACACTTCTGTCATGGACTGAATTATGTCCTTCTAAAAAATTCATATGTTGAAGCTCTAATCTGCAATGTGATGGTATTTGGCTATGAGGATTTGAGAAGGCAGTTAGGTTTAGATGAGGTCATGAGGTGGGGCTTCGTGTGTAATTAGAGTGCCCTTATAAGAAAAGACATGAGAGAGCTTGCTTGCTCTCTCTCCATCATATGATGACACCATGAGAAGGTGGCCATTGGCAAGCCAGGAAGAGAGATCTCCCTGGAGCCCGACCATGCTGGCATTCATTCTGATCTTGAACTTCCAGCTTCCAGCAGAAATAAGTTTCTGTTGTTTAAGCTACCACCTAGTCTATGGTATTTTGTTATAGCAGCCCACGCTAAGACAGACTAAGCAGGTAGTTTTCTGATACTGGAAGATCTCCTCTCTGATTCAGTCAGTAAACATTTATTAAATGCCCACTGTGTTCCATGCCCTGTGCAAAATGCTGAGGATTCAAAGATGACCAAGACAAGGCTCCTACACCTAAGGAGATGATTTAATAGGAGACAAACATGTAAACATACTGAAAAAAGTGTTATATGTGCTCTGAGAGAAGTATGCATAGGGGACCCAAAGGTTAGAGTAATTGTTTCTATCTGTGGTTGGAGTGGGGTAGGTTTGGTTGGTCAGTACTCATCAAGTTAATTCTAAGTTAAAATTAGCTGGGTGTGGTGGTGCATATCTGTGGTCCCAACTACTTAGGAGGCTGAGACAGGGATTTCTTGAGCCCAGGACTTTGAGATGATAGTGAGCTATGATCACATCACTGCACTCTAGCCTGGGCGACAGACCAAGACCCTGTCTCAATTAAAAAAACAAAAGTTGGCTCAATGTCATAGAACCAGACCCTAGTCACTGGCTAAGTAACCCAGGTAAGTCAGGAGTTACGGCTTTCAATCTGGTGACAAACCTGAGGCTTCCCATGGTGAACCCTACTGGGTGGTCAGCCTTTCCACTCTGACCTCACCATCTCCACTCTCTACAACAGCAACAGTCTAGCAATGAACAAATTCCTACAAAGAGTTTCCAGTAATAGGCACAAATTTCAGATATCCAATGGAGGAAGTCAAAAGGCCGGTACTGGACAGTCACAGAGGTTTAGAAGGTAGCTGCCTACTGAGAGGGAGGAAAGAACTTGCCGCATGCCCTCCAAAATGGAATTGGCTTTTGGCAGTGGCTTCATGTGCCCTTTGATCGTTTCTATGCTTTGTGGATTTCCATTTCTAATTCTTCTTTGGGACACTGAATATTTCTAATAGCATTCTGATTTAGTTATACTAACTGTATTTTGTGTAAGTTCATAAGTATTTATTTCATAAGTTTTTATTTTTAGTTACCAGCTAATTTTTTCTATTTTTAGTAGAGACGGAGTCTCACTCTTGCTCAGGCTGGTCTCAAACTCCTGACTTCAAATGATCCTCCTGCCTCGGCCTCCCAGAGTGCTAGGATTTCAGGTGTGAGCCACCGTGCTCAGCCAAGATCCATCTTTAACCAATGTCCTAAGCTAGGGCACAGCAGAGCTTCATGATAGAAAGACATGGGTTTCTGAGCAGACCTCATGAGCAAAATAATCCTGTCAGCATCAACTAACCAGGCAGTCTCATTAGAGGGAAATAAAATTCTATTTTCTTTTAAGCACTATATATTTTATTTCTTTATTATAGCAGATTATATTGCCCTAATATAATATTCATGAGGCTGGCATAGATTTGAATATTAGCTCTCTCTCACCTAGAGAATGGGAAGAGCCGGAAGATGTGGGTCACAAGAAATAAATCAGAAAGGACTGGATCAGGTCACTCCGTACAGGAAAGCAGACGCAGATGGGCCAATGAAATGGAGGACTCTCGGTTGTCAGCTAGGAGACAGGATAAAGTCTTTCGACATCTAGATGAGGCAAGAGGGCGAACCAATGAAGATACTCCATATACTTTAAAATTCTGGAGGGCCCCATCAGTTATAATAA